CCCTCCTCCTCCTAAAACCCCAGAGGCCGCCTGCCAGGGCTTCTCTCCCCAGGGCATGGGCAGTAAGATTCTTTCCTTGGGGAATCTGATCACCCAAGGAAAAAACCCACAGATTCTAACGTTTTGGTGCTCACAATAAAATGACCAAAGCAGCAGCCCTACCCTGAGGCTCAGTACACAAGACTCAAAAACTGGCACCAAGCCAGTGCTCAGCCCAGCGTCTCTGACTTTTTAAGTCAATCTAATGCTTTATTCTTAAATATGGACAAATAGCAGAGACATCTGATATCTGAAGAAAGACCATAAAAAGTGGAATTGAAATCATTGTACTCAGGATACAGAGACAATATAGAGAAGAGAATAAAGCTAAGAAAAGAGCTATAATTAATATCATCAGAAGATGAAAGAAGTAGCATTCACAAAACAAGAATAGAAAGCTCCTAAAAATGAATACTCCAGATACAAAGGAGTTCTTAGGGTAAAAAAAAAAAAAAAAAAAAAAAAAATCTTTAAAATTCTTTAAAATGATAACAGCTGAGGAAATAACCCAAAAATTAGAATATAAGGAACAGATAATAAAAAGCAAGGAAGAAAGCCAGATGATAATCCAAGAGAGCCCATAATTTAAAAAGCAAACTTTAAGGCAAAATCAGAGAAATAGAAGCATGGAAATTGTCAGAGAAATAATAAAGTTTCCGAAGAACTAAATAACTTAAATTTTCAAATGAAAAGGCTCATCAAGTGCCTCATCCAATAAATGAGAGGAAGTCTCACATAAATAAAAATCATTTTGAAGTTCCTGAACACTGGAGATTTTTTCAAAGCTCAAAAAGCTTTCAAGAAAAAGAAAATAATATAGTATACAAGGGATCACCAAACAAGATGGTAACATATTTCTCCACGGCAATTCTAGGAAGTAGAAGAAAATGGATTAGTTATTGTAAATTTTGATGTTACTATTTTCTGTCATTTGCTTTCCTATAACACATTCTGGATAATTTTTCACACAGCTTTCGTTTCACTAATTCTTCCAGTTACATACACCTAGCTGGTTGAACTGGTCTGTTGCATGGTAAATTTCAATTGCTAATTTTTCCTTTCTGGAACATCTATTTGTTCATTTTTAAAATATTAATTTTTTTTCTGTTGGCTGTTTGCATTAGCCAGCTTTTTCTGATTACGTTTTGCTGCTAAAGTGTGGCTCACGGTCACTGATGGTGTATTTTTTAGCGGTCTTTGAAGACCATTCTGAAGCTCTGTGTTCCAGAAGGTTCCTAGAGACACCATGAACCCGGGACCACTTCAAAACCATTTATGACGAGGATTTCGGGACCATCCCAGGGTCACAAGTTTGAATCACAAATCCATTCAAGGATTGGTCATGGTTTCAATTTCACAGAAGTAGAGCTCTCTGCCATCCTCCCCAACTTTAGGCCAACTCCACCCCCACCAAGAGGGGCCACGGAAGTCACTCTGGTGCACTCTGTAAGGTAAGGTAGCCCTCAAGAGTCAAGATTGTTGGCGCAAGTACACATCTCAGGCAAAAGCAGCTCCATGCTGCTCTCAGAATTCTCATTCCCCCTTGGACTCTACCCTAATTCACCACTTCCTCCATGTTTTTAAGGACATATGTGTATGAATGCACCCAGGGCATGGTCTCCAGTGTTTATGCTGTTCTGAGTGGCGAGTTTAGCCAGAATAGCCCAATGCTGCCATTTTCCAGATATAGAAATATTTTATTTCTTTTTTTTTTTTTTTTTTTTTTTTTTTTTTTTTTTTTTTTTTTGGTACCAGGGATTGAATTTGGGTCCTTGTGCTTGCAAGGCAGGCAGCAGAACCACTGAGCTAAATCGCCAGCCCCAGATGTAGAAATCTTGTCAAAATTCCTAGGGAAAATGTTTTTCAACCTAGATCTCATCATTCAGCCCAACTGTGAATCACTGCAAAAGTAAAGACGTTTGAAGACATGTAAATAAATCATTCAAAAAACAGAAACACCCTTCACCCTTTCTCAAGAAGCCGCAGCAGGCTGTGCTCTGTTGCAACAAAACCAAAAACGCTAAAGAAATGAAATCCAGGAACCAGGCCGCCGAACACGAAGTAAGAGAAAGGGTCAGCCCAAAGCGCCAGCCTCAGGGTGGCCCGGCAACGTCGGAGGACATTCCCAGGAGAGGAAGAAAGCAAGGCGGCAGCCAGTGACGTGCAGTCTGTGAGGTCAGAAGGCGCACGCTCCAGGCAGGGAGCTCTGAGTGCGCGAACTTTAAAAAAGCATAGAAAATTAAGCAAATTTTGAAAGCAAGACATCTGTGATCTCCAGGGCAGAGAAAACGTTTGCTCAATAAGCGGAACCTAATCTTACCAAACCACACCTTTAGCAGGAGGGTAATGACGGCAAGGCCTCAGGAACATAAGCACCACTGTGTCGGGCGTTGGGAGGGGAACCCCGCGTGGGCAGGCAGATGGGGGAGGGGCAACGAGAGGCAACAGCGCCCTCCCTCCTCGGCCCGCCGGACACAGCAGAAAGTCGGAGCCTGGGGACAAGCAGTGATACTACGGCGTCGTCAGGGGTCAAAGAATGGGCAAGACTTCCGGCTCGGCTCTCAGTGATGTTGCTATACATGGGTCCAGGCTAGACCCTGGGTGCAATTAGAACAAGAGAAAAGCAGAGGGTGCCGGGGAAGCGGTGCCTTCCGCGTCTGGCGGATTCAGGGGTCACGCGATGCCTCCTCAGAGCTGGCCACCCTTCTGCGTGGGATCACATCACGACTCTTCTATTCTCAAATCCTTAGTTCCGCAAAAAATATTTGTGTGCACTCAAAGCACATCTTTGTTTGTCTGCTTTTCATGACTCACTCAAAATTTAACAAAAGCAACTTCTATAGCATCCGGTCACAAAAGTTTATCTGACAAAGCTCAAAGGCCACGGTTTGACCACGCATGGTCGTTCTCGGGTCCGTGGCGCCACCTGCTGGCAAAATGCACTCTTGGAGATGGGGTGTGCATAGTTGCCAATCACGCCCTGGATGTAATTTATGAACTCTGAAAACTTTTTATTTTTATTTGTGGCAGAACTGGGAATCAAACACAAGAGCACTCTACCATAGAGCTACATCCCCAGGCCTTTAAAAAATTTTTTTTAAATTTTGAGACATAGTCTAGCTAAATTGCTCAGGCTACTTCAAATTAGCAATCCTCCTGCCTCAGCCTCCTGAGAGGCTGGAATGAACACATTTGCGCAAACAGGGTGCCCTCCAGGGAGCCAGTCCTGGCTGGCTGTGACAGACCACCCCTGGCTCCCGAGACCCACCATGTGGAGGCCCAGGACTCACCGGAAGGCACCTGTGTAGCCGTAGTAGCGCTCCTGGCTGTTGGCTGCACACTTGTTCTCTCCCTGGGCATTGCCCACACACAGAGCACACAGAGGGGATGCGGGGTCAGCACCTGGGGCACAGCTCTGACTGAAGAATTCGCCTGCAGGAAGGAGCTAGCAGTCAGAGGCACCCAAGTCCTCCCTCACCGGCCACCTCCTCCGAGCAGGTGAGAGAACACACAGACCGCAGCCCCCAGGGGCATCTCACAGCCACCACAGGGGTGATAAGAGCAGCAGGTGCGGCCTGCTGTGTTGGTTAGTGGAGTGCGCCCCCGCCAGGACCAGCTCTGGTGACAGTGCAGCGGGTCCCCACTCTGGGAGAGCCACGGCAGGGGAACCACGCACCCACATCATCAGGCCACCAGAGGAGTGTGGGGCCTATGCAGGCCAGAGTGAGCGGGCGCAGGGATACAGGGCCCGGAGGTTGGCGGAGGGCAGAGAGGGTAAGCAGTTGGTTCTCTTCAGAGACAGAACTCCCTGCATGGGGCGGGCCAGTGGAAAGTGAGGGTCTGTGGGGAATTTGGATCTGGGACTCTAAGAGGTAAAAAATACTGGATTTCGCAGAACTGCACCCATTTTTTCAAAGCAGGGCAGTAGGTTGATATTCCAGTCGTGTGTGGGTGTGTGTGTGTGCATGCGTGTGTGTGTCTGAGCACAGAACCCAGGGCTTCACACATGCACACATTCCAGTACTATCTGCATACCTAGCCTTTTTTGTTTTGAGACAGATTTTTGCTACGTTGCTTAGGCTGGCCTCCAACTTGCAATACTTCTGCCTCAGCCTCCTGAGCAGCTGGGATCACAGCCACGCACCACCATACCCAACCTGATGCCCCTGCCTTGTATCTCCATAGGGTGGACTTAGAAACTGTCAAGCTGGAAGCCTCCTCCGAGTCCCTGACTGCAGGGCATAGCCCCGGGGAGGACTTTCTTTTCACCCAAAGACAGCTGTGCGCCCCAGCTGCAGGTCCCTCCAGCCCCTCCCCAGGAGGCCTCCGCTGCCCCTGGACTCCCTACCGAATCTGCAGGAGCTGGTCTGGTTGAAGAGCAGCCCCATGGGGATGATCCAGCCTGCGGTCCTGTCCACCGCTGTGTGGCAGGATTTCCTGCCTCTCAGAGAGTTCCAGGTGAGACCAGAGTCTGACGTCCGAACGGCCGCCACAGCGAGGTACCCTGCACACAGACGACAGAGCGAACTTAACCCCGGAGGCCTGGCACACGGATGCCCATGCAGCGGCAAGGGGCATTGCCAGGGGCAGCTCCTCAGATGCCTGGCTGCTGCTAGGTAGACCGAGTGTCAGCTGCTGCCCCACGTCAGGGGAGAGCGGGCAGGGCTTTGAAATGAAGCAAGCAGAAAAGCCGGCTGTTCGTGATTGCAGGTCTGTCCTCAAGCAGCCACAAGATGTTCCCGAGTCAGACAAGAGCCACGAAAGGGGCGCACACTGAACAAGACCCCCTGCAGCGGGCTCCCTGAGTGGAAGGGTCAACAGGGTGCATCCGGCTGTCAGTAGCTGCTCCGGGTTCACCAATGGACCCAGGTGAACAGCAGGATCTGCCCAGCGCTGTCTAAACTGGCAGCGGGATCTGGGACCGAGCACTCGGACACTGTCTCCTTCCTCTCTGCCCCTGCGAAGTCCACTGTGAACTGTAGCCAAGTCCACCCCTCAGGGATGACCCGCTGCCTTCATGACTTCCAGGGCCAGGTCTCCCTCTGTCATTTTTTTAAAGTTCCTACCACCTTGCCCCCCGCAACAAGAACTTATTCCCGCCCCTGAAAGTGCCCGGCTCCAGCTCACCTTCCGGCGGTCTGTTCACGCAGTCGGAGCCTGGGTTTGCTTGGGATTCTGAAAGATCAAGACAAGCGGGGCCTCGTGAGGCACCGATCTGCCCAGAAGGCCCCTGCTCTGAAAGGCTCACGACGCGGCGTCGCATCCAGAGAGACGGCCGCAGCCCTCCCAAGCGGCACAAGTGAGCGCACAGCGGCAGGAGACGGACGGAGACGGCCGAGCCACGGTGGCCACTGGCTGGCCAGTCCTCCGCCAGAGTCGGACCCGGATGAGTAATTCCGGCAGAGCCGCCTCCGTCCTGCACAGCGCGAGCCCGGGGTGCGGTGGCACACGGACCGGATGGACCCCGGTCCCCCTCCTTCGGGAAGGAGCACAGGCTGTGCTGCTGAAGTCCAGAGCCTCGGACTTGGCGAGAGGGGGGCGGGATTGCTGTGATGTACGACTGTCAACCGCGAGGGCTCTGTCTTACTCCAGGGAGCCTACAACGCGGGCTTAGGAATGAACTGTTCAAAAATTAAAGCCCTCGCAACCTCACCTGGGCGGCTAAATCTGTACTGACTTAAAGATTAAAGCACACAGGCAAGCCCGTGACTTTCAGAGAGAGACAGAAAGAGGAGGAAGGCAGGGAGCCGCCGTGCTTTGTCAGTTCTCAGCACAGCAAGCTTTTCGGGCAGCAGGGCCCCTTCGTGGCTTCCTCCCCGCGTCCCCCGAATGTGTCCGCGCACCCAAACTGCTCCCATGCCCCAGCGAACTCTCCCTCTGCTTACTCTGATTCTCGGCCAGGACGGGCACCAGGCCACACTTGCCCGCGGTGTAGATAAATCCTCCGTCCAGACTCATGGCGTCCGCCTCACCTTTCTGTGGAGACAGAGGCTCTTTCCTAACCTTCCGTCTCCACAGCCCCAGGGGTGCCTTCTCTCCCCGGGCCCCCGCGAAACCCCATGTTTGAGCTGAGCACTCGGAGGAAATCAACACCTGGGTAACTGACCCTAACCCTAAAATAAAAGTTAAATGTTTAAAAGGGCTGGTGGTGTAACTCAGTGCAAAGGCCCTGAGTTCAAGTCCAAGCACTGAAAAAAAAAAAACTTTAATCATAGCTTTCTCTGGGTAAGACCACAGATGGTTTTTGAGGGTGGTTGCTGGTGTGTGTGTGTACACTTCCCACGTTCCAGATTACACACAGTAACCCTGAGTTGTTCTTCTAGTGAAAAGGGTGAGAACTTCACAATAAGCTGCGTTTTCAACCTAAAACCGCACCCCTTGGGCAAGGTCCCCGAGGCCTGGGCCGCCCCCTCTACGGGACCACGCCCCCCCGGCCTGTGCCGCCC